CACGCTCCTGGGCCACATCAGCGTGCTCTCGGGGTGAGTCCCCACGTTGGATCTCCTCCGGCTCATCCCTGGCGCGCGCGCACTATCATCTCCTGGGATCGGCCGGCCGGGCGGGGCCTGAATTCACTCCGCCTCCCGCCCATCCCGCTGTTTCAAGCAGCAGCAGTCTAAAACCCACCACAGACTGGGACTCTGGCCCAGTCACAGCTTGCGCCACCTACTCCTGAGCTCGTCCTTCTCTGGCCCCTGAGATCCTGTCGTCCTGTCTCCCAGATAGAGCAGGGATCTCCTGTGGTCCCTCCATCTGCTGGCATCTCAGTCCCTGCACTCAGCACATCAGAGACCCAGCTGTGCCCTTAACTTTCTATGTGATCCCAGGAGAACTTCCTGCCCTGCTTGGGCCTCAGTGTCCCCATTTGTATAACGAGGATCTATATTTGATGATCCTGGAGCCTCTGTCACTTTCATATCTGTCTCTTCCCCCAACTGTTCAGGACACAGTGGCCTTCCTCACACTGTGCCAAATCATCATGGGACATCCATGGGACAACTGAGGCCCAAAGTGGGCAGAGGAAGTGCCCAAGGTCACACACACAGATTGAGGCAGGGATGGAGGTGGGCTGGTCTCTGGACTCAGGTCCAGGGATTTCCCCAACTCTGTGCCCACCCTCAGTGACACCTACCTTCTCCCCTGCCCCACGCTATATGTCTCCACCATTAGTTTCTACATTCCAGGCTGAATCCCACCCTCAATCCCCTCTTTGTTAGGTGGCCCTGAGCAGTGATGGGTAATCACACAGCTCTGTGTTAGCTCCCAGGAATAGGGTGAACCAGGGTGGCTCCTGTCTCCAGACTGGCCTTAATAAGGGGATTCCAGGTGGGGTCTTTGGATGCTTTAAATCCCAGCTTTTCCGTCCTGCTCCTCCGGGCTCGAGGGGGCCAATGGATTGCAACAGGATGGTGCTGGTGTCCTGCGGTTGTGGTTCTGTGGTTGTCACCCTTCCCTCTGTACCCCCATAGTCTCAAAACAGACCTAAGCCCATCTGCATGTACTTCTCATCCTCAGACCACCCTCTCATTCATTCATTCATTCATTCACTTATTCATTAGTTCAACAAATATTCATTCAACAAATATTTACTAAACCCTCATTCTAAGCCAGATGCTGTTCTAGGCCCAAATGTCACTTGTCTACAAATGTTAGAGGATATGAAGGGAACAGATATTACTGAGCAGAGACTGTATACTTGATACGTACACACTCCTGTTTAATCTCAGCAGCAACAAATCTGTAAGGCGGGTGCTGTACAGATGGGGAAACTGAAATTCTCCCCTGGGCCCCATGGTGAGGCAGGCCAAGATTTAAACCCAGTCTTCAAAGCCCCAGTCGACGCCACCAAGAATGGAGACAGGAGATATCCAGAGCTCCCAGTGCCCACCCTGCCCGTCACCCATGTTGGCACTGTCCCTGGGTGGTAGCTGCACCCTCATGCTTCTCACTCTGCCTAGGCTGCTGCCTCCTCAGCTCTTTGGGGTCGTGGAACAGACACTATTCAAGGTGCTGCCGGAACTGGTGAGTGTGGGGGCCTTGGGCCAGGCATGCCCCTCCCCCCAGGCTATGCCTCTCCTCCCCCAGCTTTGATAAATCTGAGCGCCACACAGGATTAGGATGTTTTTCTCTTCCACGCCCATTGGCTAATCCCATCCTGGCCTCCCCACTGCCACCCAGGTGCCTCCTGGCCCGCGAGTCTGTAGCTTCAGATGACCTGAGTCCCTCTGCTCCCCAATCCAAGTCTCTTTTTTTTACCCCATGCTCTGCCTTTGCCACCTGTATTATTTTTGACTTTATACTTTGCTTTAATCTAGCTTTGAATTAAATTGGGGTCACGCGGTGATTTTCAGCTGAGCTATGTGCTTGGCAATTATGTCCAGAAAATCACATACATGTATATTTTTATCTCACAAGTGAAACACATTCTGATTAAACTGCTCCAGGATGCTTGTCCATGGCCAGTCCCAGTCATTCTGGCTTCCACAGGGGACACGAACCGCACCTGAGAAAAGCTGGCCTGGCCAAAGGCCCATTTCATCAAGGCCCGAGAGAGGAGGGGTTTGCTGGGGCCACACAGCCAGCATAGGGCAGTCAGGCCTCCTGACCTCCAGTCCTGGCAGAACCCCTTTTGTGGGTCCTTGTGAAGGACACCTGTGGAGGTAGCAAGGGCAGGGGGACCTGAAGTTAGGAAAACTAGCTTGGGCTTGAAGAAGTCAGTCGGAAAGCAGCTCAGAGGCAGAAGGGCAGCTCCCAGCAGCAAGGACCTTAATCAGGCCCATCACAGGTGAGTTTCAATAAGGGAGGTGGGTGCATTTAAATTGCGGCCCTTAACTGGAGTCAGCTGGGACAACATGCTGCAAGACAGGATTTACGTGACTCAAAAAGGTTTTAAACATACGAGTTAATTACTAGCATTTAGAAATTGGAGATTTCTCTTCATAATCCAATTTCTAGCTTCTCTTGTGCAATCAGCCACCCTGGCTGCAAGGTGCCTCCTTCCTGCAGGTCACACGCTGGCGCCCAGAGGGCTGTTCCTCTCACCCCGCATAAGCCCTCTGGTCTCTTCCTCTCGTTTCTGTGACAAGCTGACCCCAGAGGCCTGGAGTTTCAGGACCCAAGTTTAAGTGAAAAGTCAGCCTTCTCTTGCCTCTGTGAGGACAGCTGTGCCCTTGGGCACGTTGTCTTTCTTCTTCTTCAGCCCCAGCTGTAGAAGGAAGGGGCTGGACTGGGTCACCTCTGAGGTTCCTGCTCTGGAGGGCTGTGGGACTCAAGATTCTGTGATTCCCCGACTTGGGATTCTGGAAGTCGAGCCACTTGCTCCATGTTTATACAGCACAGGGGTTTTCAATAAACATGGTGATGTGTGCAATGGATGTCCCCGGGCCCAGGCTAGGTCTGTCAGTGCCCACCTGGGTGGCAGGAGGGGCCTGAGAGCTGAAAGGGAACAGCTGCCTTTGTCCCCTCAAGGGAAAGCCTTGTCCAGATGCCCCAACTGGCCTCTGAATTGTGTCTTCCCTGCTCCCCCAGCATCCTTTGAGGTTTTCTGAGGGGGCCCATGTCACTGGCCCTCTGCACCACCTATTCTACCTTCCAACATATCAAGCTCCAGCCCCTCCCATGCTTCCCACCTTTGTGCCCCCCATCTGTCTCCACAGTCTGCCTTGCCTGGTCCTCAGGACCACATAGCAAATCATTTGTAGAAAACGCAGCTGTCCCCAGGTGGGGGCCCGCTTTTATTTTCTTGTAACACCTGTTTCTTCTGGACACAGCTGTGCCCTATGGTGGACAGCGTGCTGTGCGTGGTGAATGAGCTCCTGGGGGCTGTGCTGAGTAAGTTGTGGCCCTACCCCCTCCTCTTTACCCTTTCCCCTATCCTGCTCCCGTTACCTCAGTGGGTAGGGGTCCCAGGGGAAAAGGAAGGGGCAGAACCCTGGGACCTTTCACTTGCTCCTCAGACTGATGAGGCCGCCATGTTGAGAAGGCCTAATGGGGGAGGTCTGGGCTGAGGCTGGTTCAGCATGGCGTGGGCACTCACAGCCATCCAGGTCTCCATCTCCTAGGAGCTTCTGGCCACTTAC